GTAGACCCAACACAGCCTTCAACCCAGCCCAATGTGGACAGGGCCACCCAAGAAGTGACTTAAACATCACCCAAGCCATCTACACCTGCTCACCAAACAGAGCCTGACCTTTCACCTGAGCATCTAATGCCTTCTCACAGAGAACCACAAATCTCTTTGCAATCAGAATCCTGTGAACTACCAGTTAAAACCCTTACAAAGCCAATCTGCCATGATCTAGGGGCTAGACCTAAAAGGAATATCCAGCCCCCTGACTATGGGACTCAGGGCCGAATTCACAAAGAATGAACTGCGGCCGCTGATAGCACCTTGAATTGCACTTCAATTGCACCAGCAGTATGCTCCGTCTTAACGTCCTATTCACAAAGGATATTGCGCTAATGATATACCAGCGCAAACACGCCCACAAAGTTTGGCAGCTGAGTGCAGTTTGCCCCTGATTTGCCCGTGATTGCAATAAGCCACACATGGCAAAGTATGAATGCTGGCTTTGCGGCAAGAACACCATGGCAGAACAATGGCAGACTTTGTATGGCAAAGTACTGAATACTGTATACCCTCATGTAGTGATGTCTGCTGGTGAGTCAGTCTAAAAGTGTCGGATGGGTTGAGGCTGTGGATTTGACCAAGTTTGACCACTTTATCACTATTCCCTCTCACCTGTAGCTGTTTTTTCATTATCTTTTGAATTTAATATGAATTATGGAACCGTTTTCGTTCACGTTTGTTTCCCCTGTTTCGTAAAATAAATTATTGAAAGTTGCTTTTGAAGTGCGTGACAGAAAGGCGTTTTGAGAACGACCGCAGACTGTCACCTGTTCAATGCATCAATATCTTCGGATGCCATTAAAGTAATAATGATTATAATAATAATGTCAAAATATTATTTACAGACTGATTTAACAGATGATCACTGCTGCCACGATCACTGGAAAGTCTGGGCAAGAGGCTTCCACAGAGGAGCGCCCAGTTTACACCAGCTTTCTAAAGACATTATTTACTTCACTCAAACTGCGTGTGGCTATTAGCGCTGGAGTTAGTGAATTAGACATTTTTTATCAATGAGGCTCATTTACATAGAAATGGGCAATTTTTTCACCAAATATAAGCATATTACCTCATTTAAATATGAGGCACAATCTGCTTGGCAGGGCAATTAGTGGAGCATTTCACCCTCTGCGCGTGCTTTGTGAATTAGACCGTATCTGTTTGCTCCATTTTTACCGGTTTAGCAGCCGCAAAAGCCACGCAATCCTTTTGTGAATTCAGCCCTCAGTTAGTAAAGTTGACACAGAGTTAACACAGCAAGTCATTTTGTCATCATATCTGAACAACAATGTATGATGGTTGAATGCAAAAGTTGTCTACTGGTGGTTTGTGGCTCCAGTTAAAACCTTATATCCTCAACACCATTACATCACAAATCTGAGCTTTAGCACGCTAGTTTTTGGATTTGGGAGAGAGTTGTTTATGTTCACTAATATTGTTGGACTGTGAAAGATTAGGAATTAAATGTATGAATTTTGAAAATAGGTGAAGATCCCCTTTAATGGTGCTGTTGTGTTTTTTTTAATGTATTTTTCCTACATTGTGTACATGACCCGTAGCCATTTGGTTCCATTCATTTCTGTACAGTATGGAAATCAAATAGCTAGGTACTCTATAGAAAAGAAAAATGGAAACCAGTGGCTCTCTGGAAACATTTAATTATTACATGAAAACGCAAAGTATTTGTAGGTATTGAGATTAAAAAAGTGCACCTGTCTTCTCAGAGTGGTGTTTGGTCAAGACCACGTCAGGAGTTCATCTAATCTATGGGAGAGAATCTAATAGAATCTGTTGGCTGAATCGGCTGTGGCTCAGAGGTAGAGAGGGTCGCCCACCAATCGAAATGATCAGCGGTTAGATCCCGGGCTCCTCCAGTCTGCATGTCGAAGTATCCTTGAGCAAGATACTGAACCCCAAATGGCTCCCGATGGCTGTTCCATCGGTGTGTGAGTGTGTTAAAACTGAGTAGCAGGTGGCACCTTGTATGGTAGCCTCGGCCACCAATGTGTGTGTGAATGGGTGAACGTGACTTGTAGTGTAAAAAGCGCTTTGAGTGGTCACTAGATGACTAGAAAGGCGCTATACAAATGCAGGTCCATGTAAAATTTACACTCTTTGTATTCATTGCATAAAAATAGTTTTCAAGCCAAGAAGTGACTGAACACCATTTTTCACATTCTTCAGTTTAGTTCACCCAGACATCAAAGGTAGAGCAGGGAGAGATATATGCAGACCACCATGGGGAACCATGAAGGAACAGAACCACAGGTGCAGGGTTGTGACATGCAGCGGGTGAACTCACGAGTCTGACTGCTTTTAATAGACCTCATAACTGCAGATGACAATACACCATGACACATCAGCTGGGTCACAGTTATCTGTCATTGTTGGTCTTTATGAGCCTGACCCCTTTATATGGTGTAATTAATATTAGTAAATTGATTCATTAAAGGAGTAATCTTTCATATTTGATATCTGTTGTAATAATGATGTAGGAACCAATGCAGTGTTGCCATCTGAAAACATGATAGACAGGTTGTAAACAAACCTCTTTGCATGGCTGGTGTGTGGGGCAACAGGGATTGGACCCAAATGCAGACAGATGAGTAGGCAGCAGGGTGAATTCAGTGATTTGTTATTTAGATATGCTTACAGAGTTCAAATGAAGCAGCAGGTCTTGGATGCAGGAAACAGACAGACAGGCAGGTAACAGGTAGCATGCGGGTAACAGGCAGACGCACAGGTAACGGGCAGGTAACAGACAGACAGGCTGGTAACAAGTAGCAGACAGGTAAGAGGCAGACAGGCACGTAACAGACAGGTAACAGGTAGCACATAGGTAACAGGCAGGCAGCAGGCATGTAACAGGTAGACACACAGGTAACAGGCAGCAGGCAGGTAACAGGTAGACACACAGGTAACAGGCAGCAGGCAGGTAACAGGCAGGTCACAGGTAGAAGACAGGAACCACATAGGTAAGAGGCAGACAGGCAGGTAACAGGTAACACACAGGTAAGAGGCAGGTAACAGGCAGACACACATGTAACAGGCAGGCAACAGTTAGGTAACAGGTAGATACACAGGTAACAGGTAGCAGACAGATACCACACAGGTAACAGGCAGACAGGCAGGAAACAGGTTGCAGACAGGCGATAGGCAGGTAACAGGTAGCAAAAAGTAACAATCAGGTAACAGGCACAAGCAGTTAACAGGAAGCAGACATCTAACAGGTAGACAGGTAACACATAGCTGACAGGTCACAGGCAGAGAGACATGTAACAGGTAGTGAACAGGTGACAGGCAGGCAGGTAACAGATGGGTAGCAGACAGGTAACAGGTAGCAGATAGGTGGTAGACAGGTAACAGGTAGCAAACAAGTAACAGTCAGGTAACAGACAGGCAGGTAACACATACCTGACAGGTAAAAAGCAGACAGACAGGTAATGAACAGGTGACAGGCAGGTAAGAGGTAGATAATAGGTAACAGGTAAACAGTGATGTAGACCACAGTGTGCGGAGATGAGCTGTGATGGTGTACCATCAGTATGTCTGTGAATGAGTGTTGCTGTTTTTGCTGAATCTGAAAATAGTTCTTCAACAGAAATGTAGGCTACACATCAGCTGTGGCCATCTTGATTGTGTTAGAAAATGCCTCAGCAGTGCTAGGTTTATGCTCACTGTTGTGTCCCCGGCATAAAGCTGCACGAGCCAAAAATGACATTATCACATAGTTGCATTAAGCCCAAAGGCTCCACAGGTCGTTTGGCCATTGTATCAAACCTGCCCCATATAGGGTGACAGTTGTTATTAGTCCAATCAGTGCCAGGCCAGCTGGAAATCTGTTTGAAAAGGAGGCAGAGCAGGCACATCAGCCAGAGCAAATAAAACTTGAGCTTGCAGATTCATCTAGTTCCCAGGCTAGGGAAAGTCGGTGCTTATATGGAACCGGTACCTATACAACCGATACCTACCGGACCGAAACAAAACACACATAACGATGCCTCCTTTTGGTGCTTTTTTTTAAATGCTATGTCTCCCTCTATTGGATGTTACATGTAACAGAATCATTCATTCATTTGTTCATTTGTTGAGTGAATATTATTATTTAAAGGCATGCTAAGCACTGTTGGCCGTCACTTCTGTTTAAGTTCAATAATGTTACCTAACACAACGGAGCTAAAGACGTCATTTGAACTCTGTTTTAGCCTCATTGTAGCCTGTAGGCCTAGCTCTAACTGCCTCTGTGTGCACCATGTTCACGTGTGCGCACTTGCGCAAGACTGTGAGACATGGGCACCGTGTTCATGTGTGTGTGCTTGCTTTCGCTGGTCTCGCGCTGGCTGGTTGGTACAGCCTGGATCCAAATGTTTTTGTTGCCATTTGCGGAGCCTGGGCTGCCTACAGAGACCGGACTTTAATAGAGTTATTATTATTGTAATGTTAATTTGTTAAGTGTTTTTTATTATATTTTAAAACTGTTAATAGAGTTCATATACCTATTTATTTCTAGGTATTTCTAATTTGCCTCAGCAATAAATAAATAAAAACATTGTTTTTATTATAATTTAAAACTGTTATACAAAATATTCACACACTTCTGAAAGGTGGCCCATTTGTGCCACTTTTCAACCTCCATAAAAACCTCATATTTTGAGGTATCAGTTCAGGCACTGTTTAAGCACCAGTACCATTTTAAAAGTATCGGTTCGTATATCGGTATCGGTAAGTATAAACGAGGCAGAAAAGCTCTATAGATCTGCAGAGCTGATGATTAATATATCAGTTCATCAGATATTTATTAGTGCAACTTTAGTATATTGCATACTATATCTATACTTAAAACATACAAAATTAGGTTGCATAATGGTCCTTTAGATTCCAAAGTAGCCCAGGTATTAAATTCATCAGCAAGAACAAACCTGCAAAATTATTCTTTGTTCCTTTTCTTCTAGGTTGCTGATCAAAAATGGTAACAGCATAGATGCAGCTGCTCTGTATGATTCATATGAGGTAGAGTATCTGCCCAATGAAGGTCTTCTCAGCACGTCCAGGCATCTCTTCATTGAGCTGACTACAGATGCTACAGGCACATCCACTGGCATTGCCATCAGGTACCAAGGTAAGCACCAGACATGATGACATGGTGTTTGTCATGGTAGTGTTGTGTAGGTTCTTGCTTGATGTCATAAATTGTAAAAACATGGAGAAAAGATACAAGGAGGCCTTGTCAGAAAGCATTCATAATAAAAACACACAAAGGGACTTCATATAAGAAAATGTAAGCTCACTAATTGCTTAAGGCTAAGAACAGTTTAGTAGTCAGCAACTTTGGCCTGCAGTGGATTCTCAGTGAATTATCGATTTAAAGATATACTAATGAACATAGACCTTCAGCAGAATGTAGTGTAAAAGCTTCCTGCAGAATGAATGGCTGGAGACGCTGACTGCGAAATGGAGGTCAGGGGTTTCTATATGAAAGCAGTGAAAGGTCCAAACGCTTCCAAACACTGAAAAGAAAAAAAGAAAGATGTTGTTGGTAAGGATCCTATGATGAGTGACTGGATTTAAAGGTTTGACAGGTTTCTAAAGGGTGGAGCTACTGTATTAATGAAGGGAGACTTTGTGTACGAGTTCTTCTCTCAGACCTCACTCAGGGATTCAGGCTGATGAAATTTTAACATACATTATCTACTCTACTGTTTCCAAGGTCAAGATTGAACCTCTATACTTATGTCACAGTCATTAATTTTGTATCCACTGCCATGTTCTTAAGTCTTTCACTAAGGTCAAGTTCTGAGCTGAATATTAATACTATATATTATGCTGAAGTTTGCACAGGATTTCACTGCCTGCCAGCTCATTCCAACAACAATCACATATCACATACTACTGATATTCACAAATCCCCATGTCAACAGTTTGCTGTTTGTGTAAAGTCTGGTGAGGACAGATAGTACTACATCAGGTCATAAGTCATATTTACAGGCATATCAGTCCTGTGATTAAAATTCTGTTAAAACCACTCTACAAGGCAGAGGACATGTAAATAGAAAATAACATTGGAAATGTCTAATATCTGTCAGCTTCAGTAATCTATCACTGTGAATGAAAAGCAACTAATTGCAATTAGAATGACGTTGTCAGGTTACACATTTCCATATTAATGAACACATTGCTGACAGCAGAGATGCAACAGGATTGTCTTATTTCTGCTACTGTCATTTGTGATTTTACGCTCCTTCCACTGTGAGAAATAAAGGGAAGAACACTTTTTAAGAGACAATTCTTAGAAATATAGTATCTGTCATTAGCAGTCCCAAATAAAAATCATATATTCCTCCAAAGGTAGCAGAACAAAACCTGATCTTCTTCTTCCATTGTAATAAGGGAAAGTTTATATTGAAAATATCTGCAAACATTTCATGGCAAACCAATCTGTTCTCATTCGAAAGTTGTCTGATGCAGTGATTTCTGCATCAGACACCAGTGAGAAAAGCCATTCCTTCGCAGTGGTATGACATGCCTCCATGCGGCGTCAGTTTTTAACGCCACTAGATGGCATCAGTTTAAAGCGCTACCAGAAAACATGAGGAGCTGGAAAGTCCCAATAGGGCAGGCAGGGGTGGTAGTGGATGGGTCCAACACACACTGGAATTTCAACCAGGAATACAGTGTTTGCTTCCTGGATGAATGTAAAGCCAAACCATAATGTTTTTTTCTAAACCTAACCACATGCTTTTGTTGTACAAGGAAATAAACGTAAATACAAGGTGTTTTACCAACATATTTTCAAATACACTCTATGGGCCCTATTTAGATGGTCTAAAGCGGATGGCGGAGGGCGCATAATCCATGTCGCAAGTGTCATTGCTATTTAGATGCAGGTGCAGTCATGGCGCGTTGTTAGTTAGATGATGTAAAAAGCAAATGCGCCAGTGACCAACAAAAACCTGGTCTAAAGTCAACGGCGCAGTATTTCACTGTTAAACAAGTTAGTAATATGCGTCTCTAGGCAGGTGCACAACGCGCGTGCACTCTGCTCAGACACACACGGAGCAGCCACACATATGCAAAAGATAACAAATAAAAATATGACTACAATGTGAAAGGTTATTATTGTGCACATTAAAATATTTATCAGAAACACGTCTTAATGGTCAGTCATTAATCAGAATGATCTAATTGCGGTAATAATGATCATCATAATCCGGGAGGTCCAAGCTCGCAGTGTCCGAATATACAGAACTGCGAGCAGACCTCCACGGGCTGATGATGCATAGCATGTAAAATGAACTTGTCTTTCCCAATTCATGATGCTGGGCTCTCTAACCTCCTGGGTTAAAATAAAATAAATTGAATAATCTACAATTTGTTGACAGTGTTTCTCTCATGTGCGCGTGCTCTCTCTTTCTCTCTCGCAGTCTCACTCTGTTTCTTTTCTTTTGGCTTTTCTAAGATGACAGATGCTGAATATATACTCCCTATCTGATGCTGTGGCTGTTTGTGGCTGGCTGAGAGGGATGTGAACTCATTAGATTGCAGCTGTGTTAATCAAATCAAGTTGGGTTTCCATTACGCGTGCCAAACGTGCCAAACGTGCCAAACGGTGCCAATCCCCTTTGATCTGACATCAGATGTGACGGGGCAGTCGATATAGAGATACATTTATCGTCTCCTCAGCTGTAAAACACTCACTCTTTCCAGTTGGTAGGTCCACCATCTAACTAGCTCTCCGCTGTGCGCTCCAATTGCGCCTCGTTTAAAGGGAATGAGAGGTGACACTCGATTGGCTTATTGAATGATACGCCCAAAACACACCCAATTCACAGAGTAAGTCCAACCCTTTTAGACTCTCTGCCATGGCGCACAGTCTGAAAACGCGCCGTCTAACTAGCAAGTGACTGGGACACCCCCATGCACTGCACGCCTGCCGCTTTGTGTTTTAGACCATCTAAATAGGGCCCTATGTATCTAACAAGCAGAAACTGGAAGTGTATTTTGAAAAGCCACAATGCATGTAAAAGGTGTAGAAGTAATACAGTGTCCCAGAATGTCAACAACATCCAGGATACCGAGCCCATCATGAATATGCGCCAAAAGTCCACTGAAAAAGCGGCCTCATGAAGAGTTGGAAGTGAGAATATGTCATGCAAGCATGCAATTAATTTTCGCTTCATTTATTTTGAATTAAGACTATGATGCAGTTAAATGCTCAGACAGCTCATCATTTGACCTTAGCTTAGTTTATTTTGTTACAAATGAAGCTTCCTAACTGTATGCTGCATATATGATTAAAACAGTCCTCTAAATCTATCTGAAAATAGATTCCAAAAATCTTTTATTTAAATATTTGAATGACTTTTAATTCTTACAAACTGTACAGCAATAATACAATTGAGCAACTGAACTGGTACAGACAGGGGTGATTCTAGGATCAGAGGTTTAGGGTTGCTGAGCACCCAGAGAGCTGCCCGGCCAGGCAAGATAAATTTCACTGTTTTGTACATTTTAACGCAATTTCATTCCCACATTTGTGAAATAAAAGCACAACACTTCTTGGGAAAGTCTGTGACTAAAGCATCAAATCTGATAAAGGTTATTTAAATGCTGAGCCACAGCAAAAGAGGAATGGATTGGAATCATAAAAGAAACATATCGTAACCCTAATTTCTGGGGGAAGACAACTCATTTTGATACAGCAGCTCCTCAACATACACATAAACAGTATGTGTGTTTCTGGAGTAAACCAGCCCCCTATAGTGAGTACCAAAAATACCAAAAATGGACCTTAGGCTTATTTTTTGGACTTTTATTTGAAATGCAGTGCACAACATGTAACATGAACACATGAACAGAAAGTGACTTTTTCAATGTTTATCTCTGCCTTTTTCCTTCTTGTCTGTATAATACAAATACATAAATAAAAATACGCTTCAAAAAGGAAAGTGCTAGAAATCTACAAACTAATAATAATAAATACACACAATAGGAGTTACAATGGGGGTGCTGCTGTATTTTTGTTGTTAAAATATTATGTTGCAACCAAGTACTGTATGGTTTTGACACTTTTCTAGCTTGTTAAAAAATGATATACAGTAAGGCCCAATTCCAATCCGATCACTGACTTAGTGAAGTGTCATGTGAAGTACGTGAGTGTGTGAGGGCTGTCCCATTGTCAAATCGTCAAGTCAGTGAGTCAGTGAGTGAGCCCTTCATGGCCACTTACCGTAGGTCAGCATCGATGCGGACTTACGGTAAGGAAATTACCCACAGTTCATAGCGTTGTGACGTCAAATACAGGGGTTGCCCTCGGAACACCGGAAGTAACATGGTCGGCAGATATGCAAACGGTAACGTTATGGAAGGAGAGCGAAAAAACAGATAGATAAACAATGAAACATTACATTCACAAGGATTTAAGATGGTACATAAACACACATGAAGTCAGAGGAATACCAGTGGTTATATTCCACACACAAAGAATATATATCTATATATAGATATATAGATAGATCTATCTATCTATAGATATATATTCTTTGTGTGTGGAATATATGATGACAATAACCGATAAATGATCATGCCCAGAGAAATGTTAATAACATTTTGTAGAGAGGGGGATAAGTGCTGTCCCATTCCTATTTGTAGCATCCGGAGCCCTTTCAGACTCTCACACTCAATCAGTTACAGCTGACGTCAGTTAAGTCAGTGAGGGTTCAGGGCTTGAGTCTTTAGGGGCCGGATTGGAATTGGGCCTAAAAGAAAAAAAAAAAAAAAAATCTCTCAAATTTTAGGGGTGCTGGGATTCAATTTAGGGGTGCTTCAGCACCCCCAAAAATGGGCTAGAAACGCCTATGGGTACAGAGATATATCTTGTTAAGACTCTTTACGTCCTGGCCTCAGCAACAGCCTCAGGGGAACATGAATGTGTGAACTAAATCTAACAGCAATCCATCCAATAGTTGTCAAGACATTTTAACATAAAACCAAAATGTAAATCTCACAGTGGTGTTAGAGGAAGAATCAAAGGATCACTATAGTTAGCAGTATTCCTCTGCGGGACCATACATGTCTGTATATAACATATCCTTATACAACGGTTCATATGATATCTACTGGATTATCACCCACACATGGCATCATCACATTACATACTAAATGTAAAGTTATGTGCTTAATGCAGAGTTACTTAGGTTAGGTTTACATAAGTAACATTATGTAGGTTAGGCACATTAAGTTACGTAGGTTAGGTTTAGGAAAAGAAAGATGGCAATGATGTAGCTTAAAATAATTAGAACTTCACTTGGTTTTAAACAGGACACAATCACCAGTCTCCTGGGGGAAAGTCCTGTATTTCTTTGACCGATTCACCACTCCAATCTGTCAGTGCATTGGTCATGTGATTGCAGCCTTTCTGATTACATGGGTCATATACAAATTAGTAGCTTATGGTTATGGGGGTTATATACCATTGAAGGAACAGTAGGGGTAATGTGGTTTGGGGAGAGTGAATGTGTGGTGAGCAAACAGAGTCTCGGTCAGAAGACATCAGTGGCAAGGAGTGGAGTGATGGAATTAGGCAAGGGAGAAGGCAGGTTTCGATACAACACCAGTAGCTTTTATTTATCTTTGATTTGATCTTTATCTGTCTTTGTCACGGCTTATTTTTGTGTGCTGCATCAGAAAAGAGATAAACAAAGAGACAATATAATTACAATCAAACAACGGAGTGGTCAATCAAACAATAAACAACAAATAAGTATGTGTGAATATACAATCCACAACTAAACAGTAAAATGGTCAAGCAACAAACAATCTTACATGGCTCCTGGCACATGTCTGGGAACAAAGAGATTAGGGTAGCAGAGCACATGTCAGCAAAGCCACCACAAAAGGCATACAAATGAAACAATCAAAATGATGAATTGACCACTCACATTAACTTGAAGACGCACACAAATCAGGATACATGGATATACTGGAGTGCTGGCAGGGAGTGCAAAGGATGAACTGAGGGGTGAACAAATAATTTAGAGTCTCCGCCCCTTACCCGGCAGGTAAGGTGGGCGTGGTCAGGTGGCAGGTATCTGCTGGGTTCACTTTGGCAGATTCACCATTTATTTGTATTTATTTGGAAAGAAAATGAACTGAGAAAGCACCTGGTCCAGGGAGTCTTTTCAACCATTCTGGTGGATTACTCTTTGTAGGTATACTAGACTGAATCATAATGTTTATTTAAAATAACTTGCGGGTAGAAAATCCTTGTCATGTATATAAAATTAACGGGTGCTGAGCAAACTCTGCCTTAATTAGTTAGTGATTTGTCAGTTTTAGTGTAAGCTATATTTAGAATATTGTCAATATTTTCAAGCCACCAGACTCCATTACTTAACACAACACTAAGTTGCTGCTCTACCATGGTGCCGATTCATCAAATGTAGCATGTGTTTTCACCTATATTAATCAACACAGGTTTTGCTAAGGAGCCATCTACAGCTACACATAGATTTGGTTTATCAAAGACAATAGCAAAGCAGTAAAGTACATAAAATAATAACATCAGATATGTCAGACTACCATGTTTAATTATTCATCTTTACAGATAAATAGTTACAGTTACAGTTATGTTACAGTTGCAGCTGAATATGACAGCAGAAACAAGTTTCCCAAATTTACTTATAGGCAATTGTAATCAATTGCCAGTTTTTTTACCTAGAAGTGATTGTTTTTGCTGGAGCAACATCACGCTGATTCAGTCTATACGTATGGGCAGTGGAAGTGAATAGCCTGCTGTACAACACTGCATGATAACTCACCTTATTGTTGTTTAGATATTTAAGCCTAAACCAAGGTGGTGGACTGAAAGACTGTCCGAGATACCAATCCACAAACACTGACATTCCTAGAGCCATACAGTTCCATAAGCATGGCTAAAAATCCTAATTTGGTCCAAGGGGAGGAACCTTGGTTGAGGGAGAGGGAAAAGCAGCAGCCACCATGGCTGATAGACTGAAACTGATGGCATGAAACATATAGGTAGCTCCCTTCAAATCTTAATGACTCCTCAGTGGAATTTGATGGGTGCAGGAGAGAGGGGGAAAAAACTTTTTTTTTTTTTTTTGTCAGAACAAAGCCCCATTTCTAAATTACTCATTAGATAATCGGAAGACTTTTTTGAACTTTCATTGCTGCCTTAATTGCAGTTTTTGCAATAAACACATTATTGGGTGCATTTAAATGCATCCATAAAAGTACCTCTCTTTATTTATTTTGTCTTTTATATTTGTTGTTTTTACAGCCATTTAATGGAGGCTCTTAGTAGATTCCACCAGTAAATCTTAAAGCTGCTTTATACTTTTTGCTTTTGCTTGGGAATAAAAGAATCAAGGACAGTCTTTGGGGAACAATTTAACTTCCATCTTCTACCAGTGTAACCTTGTGCATTGGAATCTATATGATTTATTTTATAGTAAGTTTCATCTAATAGCTAGGGTGAAATATCACTTAGCTTCTCTTATCTTTTGCCCTCACATTTGTCTCAGCATTAACTATCAGATAAACGGCTCTTCCCTGGTCCATGAGGACCACTTGGAAATACAATCAGTGTAATCTGCTTAGGCCCCTGCTTCACTGCCGCAAAAGGGATTAAGTCCGAAGGGAGCAACGGACCTCATTATGGCCATTAACAGGACATAATGCTGTTCAGCTAGTCTCTAAGAGATTGGATGTTTCCTCTGTTATCCTGACAAACCATTCCAACCCTGGTGAGCAGCCTCATTCAGAGGATTCATTCAGCTGTTTCTAACTGCTACTCAAGTGTTTTTCTTCTGTTGTCTTTCTTCTTCTTCTTTCTGCACAATCTCAAAAGAATGTGTGCATTCAGAGCTATGGCACATTTCTGGAATTCATAAATTCATCTTAAAGATTACATTCATACATACATTCAAATTCTAAAATGTAACCATTGTGTCCAGGACGTGAATTAGCATTTCCTAGGATAGCGAAGGCATGATCCGTCCTACTCTGACATACTCTGCCTCTGACTGGCTCACCCTGACATTATTACAGTAACCCTAACAAAACCCACTCCTCTTGCCTAAGCCTAACCAACCCAAGCAACAAAGGCAACACGTACTAGCCAATCAGAGGGAGAGTGAGGTGGCTCAAGCCTTTGCTATCCTAGGAAACACAAATATGCATCCTGGATGCCATGCAGGATTATGTTCCTCTGCAAGGCATATGTGATATTTGTTGATTAATCTTTTTAAAAGAAACTATAACTATTTGATATATATACTATATGTTGTATACTTTCTGATTGTTACCAAATATACTTAACACACAATATCTTAATTAGGCTACTGCTAACATGCCCACAACAACAGTGTCTACATGCTGATGTTAAATGTTTGGTGGATCGCCACCTTTAGAGCTACAATTGAATGACTCCAAGTATTACAAATGATTAGAATCCATCTTCATCGCAGGTAATAAAAACTTTTACATCAGCTCCTCCAAACACCTGCTGTAAGCCAGACCAGATCTTTATGGACACTTTAACCAACAGAGCCCTAATGTGTCTACTTTAATACTTTAAGGTTGGATTTGGAGTGCAAAAAAATCCACTACTTGACAACATCTGCATCCTGTGTTCACGTAACACATTTTATATTTCATCCTAACGTGTCTTTCAGTCGCCTTCACTGTTGTTTAACTAAAATATAAGTTTAGTAACTTACAGGAAACTGGGGCCTTGAGATAAATCTTATGACTAACCAAATGTTTGCAAATGCAAGTTGGTCTCTTAGCCAAATCATTTATGGAGACGCTAACTCATTTGGCAAGCATAGCTTCTCATTTGCTTTTTGGGTATAAGCAAAGTCCTTTTTACTGAAAATGTCTTTGTACCACAGCCTTTGCAGCAGGCCACTGCTACGAACCCTTTGTGAAGTACGGTAACCTGACCAGTAGCGACAACACTTGGGCAGTGGGAACTGTGGTGGAGTTTGCCTGTGACCCTGGCTACACTCTGGAACAGGGATCTGTTACCATTGAATGCATGGACCCCAACAATCCCCAGTGGAACGAGACCGAGCCTGCATGCAGAGGTCTGTATGTCTGTATATTGCTGAAAAGAAGTCACCCATCTGCATTTAATGCATCCTGTTTTTATTCATGTAAATTTTATTATTATTATTTTTTAATTAAGCGATTCACAATATGATTCACTTAAAATGATAAGACAATGGGTCATTATCTCGCTCAGGGACATATGAGCAGTACTCAGGGCTGTTGTTGCAGGTTGGGTCAAACTTTACTCACAATGGATGTTTGGGTATGTGAACATCAACCCGGTCTCACTCCAAAGTTGTCAAAAACTGGCGCTTGGTCACTGACTTCCGGCGCCAGGCACCCGACAAAAAAGCTGCCCTTTCACGTTGGCATGATACGTCGGCGCCCAGTGCTGTCAGGGGGAAATAAGACATCAACGTAAATTAAGGGGGTGGAAATCCAAATAGGTGTCGGCCCTTGCTTGATGATTTTTATTTAAAATGCTCAGCCTCCCTCAGGTACAGGTAAAAATAAGTATGGCAGACATGTCCCCATGTTTGGGACATGGAATCCATGTGGTCCATGTTCAAAGCCTCCATTGTGGAGGCTGCTGCTAGGAGCTGTGGTCAGAAAGTTGTCGGTGCCTGTTGTGGCAGCAACCTTAGAACCTGCTGGTGGATACCCGCTGTGAGGGATGCTGTCAGGATGAAGAGCAAGGCCTTTCAGATCTGGCTGGCCCAGGGGTCACCTGAAGCAGTAGACAATTACCAGTTTGCCAGAAGGGCTACAGCTGTGGTGGTCGCTAAGGCAAAAACCCAGATGTTGGAGGCGTTTGGGGAGGCTATGGAGAAGGACTCAGAGGTCACTGAAGTAGTCAAGAAGCTCCCCACTGGCAAGGCAATGGATGTTGAGATTTGCCCTGAGATGCTGAAGGCTCTGGACATTGTTGGGCTGCCTTGGTTGACGTGTCTTTTCAGTGTTGTGTGGCAATCATTTTCAAAAAAGGGGACTGGAGGGTGTGCTCCAATTATTGGGGTATCACACTGCTCAGCCTCGCTGGAAATGTTTACTCCAGGGTGCTGAAAACAAGGCTCTGACTGATTGTCGAACCTTGGATTCAGAAGGAGCAATGTGGATTCCATCCTGGCTGTGAAACAATGGACCAGCTCTTTACCCTTGTGAGGCTGCTGGAGAGGTCATGGGAGTTTACCCATCCAGTCTACATGTGTTTTGTGGACTTAGAGAAGGCTTACGACCGTGTCCCTCGGGGAGTCTTGTTGGGGGTACTGCGGGATTACAGGGTACCGGAGTTGCTGCTATGAGCCACCCAGTCCCTGTATGACCAAAGTGAGAGCTGCATCTAAATACTTGGTGTAAAGTCAAACACGTTCTCGGTGGGTGCTGGACTCTGCCAGGTTTGCCCCTTGTCACCGGTCCTGTTTGTGATATTTATGGACAGGATCTCAAGGCACAGCTTGGGGGAGGAAGGGATCGGTTTGAGGACCTCAGAATTACATCTCTGCTTTTTGCAGATGATGTGGTTCTGTTGGCTTCATCACACCGTGACCTCCAGCATACACTGGGGCAATTTGTAGACGAGTGTGAAGCGGGCCATATGTAAGTCAGCATATTCAAATCTGAGGCTATAGTTCTCTGCCGGAAACCGGTGGATTGCCCCCTCCAGGTTGGGAGAGAGTTACTCCCTCAAGCGAGGGAGTTCAAGTTAGCCTGAGCGTCAGACTGAAGCTCCCAGAACCTTCAGTCTGACATTGCCTCCATTGAAGGCGATTTACAAGGGGGAGGGAATTTGATTTTTCCCTAACCAATCAGTAGAGATCAACGACTCACCCAGAATCTGACGTCATTAGTATCCATGCCTCGGGGGTGCCGAAAACAAGCGAGTATTGCCCATTTAAAATGTCTCCGTCATCGTGCACGCCCAGCTGCATCGCCGTTAATCCAGTTTAGCAGCTTCCTTAATTTGGTCCTCCATTAACGCGAGTAGTGGTGAAATACCTCGATAGCATCGTTAATGTGGTCTGTAGGATCTGTAGCGGTCGCCATTGTTGCTATCCTCACCAGTTACCCACTGGCGTACAGTTTGACATCAGCGTGGAGCTGATTGGCTAATCGCTAGACCCGCCCCCACCCCCGGCGTTCATTGGTCCGTCCATCATTTAGACGAGATAAATCGCAAATTCATTGCAGTATGCCAGACTAGAGATACAAGCCTACTCAGTTAAGTGGGCGGGGTCTATGGTCTGGAACCAGGCTAAGTTCAAGTATCTCGGGGTCTTGTTCACGAGTGAGAGGAGAATGGAGCGTGAGATAGATCAGTGGTTTGGTGCAGCTTCTACAGTGATGCGGGCGCTGCGCCGGACTCGTGGTGGAGAGAGAGCTGAGCAGGAAGGGGCAGCTTTCGATTTACTGGTCTATCTATGTCCCAACCCTCACCTATGATCATGAGCTCTGGGTAGTGACCAAAAGAATGAGATTGCAGATACATGCGGCCAAAATGAGTTTCCTCTGTGGGGTGGCTGGGCCCAGCCTTAGAGATAGGGTGAGGAGTTCTGACATCTGGAGGGAGCTTTGAGTAGCTGCTGTTCCTTTGCGTCAAAAGGGGTCAGCTGAGGTGATTTGGGCATCTGTTTGGGATGGCTCCTGGGCGCCTTCCATTAGAGGTGTTCCAGGGATGTCCCACTGGTAGGAGGCCCCAGGGCAGACCCAGAACATGCAAAGGGTCTCATCTGGCCTGGAAACACCTTGGGGTCCCCCAGGAGGAGCTGGAAAGCATTGCTGGGGAGAGTGTCTGGGGTGCTTTGCTTGGTCCCGCTGCCCCCGCAACCAGAAGGGTGGATGAAAATGGATGGAGGGATGGATTTACTTCAATTGATGAAGAATGTTTGTCTTTTTGGAATTCTCCATTGAAGGTGGTGGCATGCAAGACAAAAATGTTTCTTCACCAGTTCAAGGTAAAATATGGTGACTAATGGATATGCAAATGATCATTTTGCAGGTGAAGTATTCCTTTAAACCAGGGGTCTTCAAGGACCCCTTAGCTAAAAGAAAGACTAAGCACAGAGCCCCTACTATATACTGTATAAAAGTGAGTTGTATATCGAACTGTGCCAATGGAGATTGTCAGGCAGAGAGCTGTATCAGCCTGAGGCTGCAATCTTGACCTGTATTTTCTTTTCAGGTAGTTTAGGGAGGAAGCTTCGCTTTCACAAAAATAAATTGCATTGTGGAATTGTTGAATTTATTTTATGGGTATTTTCAGACATGTTTTAATTTTGGAAATGAAAAAACAAAAAATTATCAAACAAGAGTTTGGCAGACCCCCTGCTGTCACTTTATAGACCCCCAAGGGGTCCCGGACTCCCTGTTGAGGAACCAGGCTTTAAACCTGTAAGGCATTGAATGCCTGGTTAGATTCACAATCATGTTTTCTAGTTCTTTAATTAGGCAGTTTCTGATTTTAATCAAAATGTTGCCAGTTTTACACTCTATTCGCTTGTATTTAGATGGCATTCCACATTTTAAAAGTTTTGGCTTCTTTTATTAAATAAAAATAAAATCTGTAGAAAAACATCTATATTTCACAAAGATATTAAAACATGTATTATTTGAGTATCAAAGTTAGGAATTATATCCATGACCACATCTGTACCCTCACCATTTCCTTTTTTTGAACTGGGGTTGTATGGGGTGCTTATCCACTGTAAGTGTATTACATACAGTAGATGTCAGTCAGCATGTCCCCAGTTCTGAGAAGCAGGCTGAAATCTGACATGGAAGATGAATAATGTACTGCTTGTGGAGGGGTCAGCAACAAAATGTATTTTAGCCACCTAAAAAAAGTCCCAACTAAAAAAATCAGTATCAGTTAAAATGTACGCTATAATGAGAGTATTTTCCCTGCTTCACCATAATGTCAGACAGCCTGTTTCAAAGGGAAAGCTGTTAACAACGTCAGTTCCCAATCTGTACTATCATCAAAGCCACCAGACTCCATTGACAAAAAACACTAATTTTGGCTAACTGAACACAGGAGCTTCATGTCTACTGCTTCCCTGATCAGTTAGTTTGTGTTACTGTGTGACTTTGGTGAATCCAAACTAATGCCTCCTACAGACTGAGATTTTAGCAATACGTTTAGTGCATGCTACACTGTATGACATGGATCCAATAAACCTGGGTACAACATCATGACATATGCAGACTGTACGATTACAGCGCCTACTGAATCACAGACTACAACACACGATGCAATAGCTTCCCATACTGAGTGCACAAGAACGCTGCACGGGTTATTACTTCTCCAGCTAGGAAGCACTTCCATGTCAGGCTCAGGCCTGCTTCTCTAAACTGTAGGCTTGCTGACAGCCATCTACTCTTTGTTATATACTGTCTATAAATAAGCACCCCATACAACCCCACTTTAAAAAAATTCTGAACGAACCCTTTAATATCCATGGTCGTGTATGTGTTTGTTTCAGCTGTGTGTAGTGGCGAGATCACAGACTCAGCTGGAGTGGTGCTGTCTCCTAACTGGCCTGAAGCCTACGATAAAGGCCAGGACTGTATCTGGGGAATCCACGTGGAGGAGGACAAGAGAATCATGGTGGACATTCAAGTGTAAGTATCCACCCTCCACATGTGCAGTTTGATCCACCTCCTCACCCTTTGCCCTTTGATATGTATGAAACCACATCATTACAAACCCTTCCCTTGGCCTCTGTGAATCTAATCATCACAAAACCCACTTAATCTCCCGTGCTCATACGTACACCAGTGCTCAGATTCAAACAGCACCACAGAAGCAGTTTGCAGATTACAAAGAGCTACCTCCCCATGACTGGTAAAACGCATTAAAAACACAACACGCTGCTAATGAAAGAGCGCTCGGCTTGTGAATGAGATGCGTAAGTGCCACACAGACAAAGGTTAATTAGGTGCAGCAGAGAAAACTAATTATATCAGGGAGGGTTTGTTTGGCAGTCCCCCACCACCACCACTCGTCTCACTCCACCCCCGGCTCCTGTAATGGCTGCTGTGTGAGTGGAGGGTGCAAGTGTACAGCATGGGAGTGTGTGTTTTCTGTGATTGCAGTGCCAAGGTGAAGACACAGAACAACACACCCTGCCGTGTCAGAGCCTGATAAGTCAGTCAGCCGTAGAAAATCATTTGCCATTTGCAAGCAAATTAAGGAGGGCTCATTTGCATAGGTTACATCTGAGCTCAGTTTTTTTTTCTCTTTTTGTTTCCCTCTCTCTGAACAGCACCTGTGCTCTTGTTGTACTTTAAGAAGCATTGATTAATGGCTTCCCCAGGTTTTTGAAAGGAAGTCTGTCAACATAAGTAATTGCTGCTGTTCATTTAGCAGAGCAGCTGATTTCAGTAGAAGTGAAGGTATCCTGTGAAAACATTTAGACAATACAACAGCCTAAAAACATGTACATATAGAACCAAATTAAAAAAGAAGATTACATGTGCTGTCATCCTTTTACCTGCATATATTTGTTACCATTTTTATTTCAAACCCACAACTTTAAGCATTTGTACACCTGCCATGACATAGTAGTATATAATAAATGAGTAAAAGTATATGAACATGATCAAATGAACCCTTTCACATCCTTACATTGACCTTCAACCCTATCACCAGACAGAGAACTGATACTGGTCAACTCTGTAAAACCCTGGATCATGTTCATTGACAACAACTTTAAATTGTAGTTTATTGTAAACTTAAATTCAGCATTCTGTAAAATTCACCTAAATTCACCTGAAACGCCTATCCAAGACATACCCAAAGTAAATTGACAGCTATTCTTGTTCCATTTTTAGTACATGGACATGCATGATCTTATTTGAAGGGTAACAGTCTGGAGTTTTTTCCCCAATAGTCAGAGGCTCTGTAAATGCTTCTGTCACTGAGCTATAAAAGTTTCAACACACCAATATATATANCATTATGTCTCAACACTAATGTGGAGAGGGTCTGTGATTTACCTAACTCAAAAGAATGTCACGTACATCACATTCACTCCTTTTGCACCCTGCAGGGGAATTTGAGGGAGTCCTACTTGGGAACAGAAGCTACCCATGTCTCCCATACCTGCTGACCCCCTACACTGAGCCAGGGACTGATCCAGAGGAGGCCTTCAACCGTACCCTCAACACCACCAGGGCACGGATTGAAATGGTTTTTGGCCAGCTAAAATACAGGTTCAGAACTCAACAGTTCTCAGGCCACATTGCGCAGCCTCAAATTCAATATTATAGCCTTCAAGACAATACTGCCCAGACAGCCCTACAGTTTTGCATGTCTTCTTACTTCAATCCCTGCAGGTTCCAGTGCCTGAAATACCTCAGGGTTGCTCCTGACCAGGCGTGCGATATTACAGTTGCCTGTGCCATCCTCCACAATATTGCCACAATCCGGAAGGAGAGGCCACCTGAGGTTGTCCCAGAGGAGAGATGGGAGGACCCCGACCCGGTCCCAGGACCCCTAGACGGGAGGATCGTGAGGGACCTGTATAGGGACACACATTTCAACTAATCCCCAATTACTTTCTGTTCAAATATAATTTTATGTATTTCTAAATTGTGAAAAAATAAATGTGCCATTTAGAACATGTGTGCCTAGGTTGTTTGAATGACACCTGAAACCTATGAATGTAGAGAATTTTAGGGTAGATATTGTTAAAAAAAATGGATATATCACAAGTCACTGACAGATAAATGTTTCACCTTCAACAATAGTAAATGTTTGATAGTTTGTGTCTGAAAGCAACCGGTCTCTTCCATTTTCCACCAGCATTTGGCTGGTGGCGGGTGCCAATTTCCATTAATTTTAGGCATGAACTGAGGGGCTTTGGGTTCTATATAGAGCCATGCAATTATGTTTCTAAACTAATTAATCTTTTTTTCACACTGTAGAGACAGGACACAGTAGACTAAGTTGACTGAAAAAAACATTTAATTTATGATGGGTCACGCTGGTCAGCCTGTGGAGACAGAATGGACAATTACATATAGTAAAGACAATTACCTTTTACTGTGCATTTGAATTCACACTTACATCTTTTTCCATCTTCTTGATTTCAAGTTTAATCTTCTTTATTTTAAATGTCTTGTATTCTGTGGCATAACTTAAGTACTGCTTATAAATGGTGCGGATGTCCTATGATGAGGAAATGTGTCAGTGCAGCCAAATATGCAGTTGTTAAGGTGGGTAAAAGGGAACGGCTACTCACTTCACTCCTGCCAGATGTGGTAGCAGTCCTTCCAGCTGGGGTAGTCTCCTGCAGCAGGGTGTGTGGTTCCTTATTAAGGTGATTTTGTCATTGCAAACACAACTAGTACATGTACATTTAATAATCAGGCTTACATCTTGGAGTTCGCTGTCTCTGGCAGAAACAGTCTCCTCATCATCATCATCATCATTTGAATGGCTGGGGCCTTCTCCCTGCAAATAGAGGAACAGCAGTTATCGGAGCAGAGGTAGGGGTTTGACTGCATGTAGTGCAGTGTTTCAACAGGTTGGGACCTACTGAATCGTCTTCCGGCCCGACTGCCTCCTCAGGCCCAGGTAGGACTGGAGGATCCAGAAGATTTCTTTGATCCCCTACCACTGACAGAAAGACAGCTGTAGAGTTAGTTATAACAACTGAGGGGCTGTCACCAGCCGAGGGGCATTGATGGACAATACCTTCAACATATGGGACCCGGATCTCTGGGGCCACAGGGTTGGAGGAGCTCCGCCCCTGGATCCCATCGATCTTGGGCCCCTTATTGAGACTGAGGGCCAGGGTCTCTGCTGAAGTAAACTCCTCAGGTGGGGGTCCCCCACCAGTAGCCATCATAGCAGTTTTTTTCCTGGTAGCTGCAAGGTACAGAGTCACAGCTTTACACCTATATTGACTGATACATTTCACATTTCATTTTGGAGCACTTACCATTCAACAGGATATTCTTATATTTGATCTTCACCTGCTGCCAAGTCCTCCTCTGGCTACTGAGATTGCTTCTGTTGAGACATAACAGTGAGGGATGAAGATGGGACACACACCATTGTGGTCTGTCTGTTCCTCATCCTATAGCACATTCCATACATTTAAGGGGGTTTTCCTTATTTTGATATAATAAGGGATAGAACTTACACCTGACGATGAGAAATAGATAATTGATTCACTATTACTTGCATTCACTTAACAGATTTCCTCATCTCCACTGAATTGATGGATTTGCTAAATGTCATTTTCTACAATCAATAGATAAATGTCATGTGATTATTTCCTATAAACTGATCATTTCGGAAATGTCATAATCTACACTCAATTATGTGATAAATGCGATGATTCACATAAAATAGTTTGATTAAATGCAGCATCTGAAATTTACATAGCAATCAGTAGATAAATGTGATAAATAGTCTATCACTAAAATTAATTTACTCATTTAGTGAATTTCATTAGGCACACTTAAATTGTTATATTTAATTGGTGTTCTTACCTACATATATTTTGTCCCTTTGATGCGGGATTTATATAACATGATATTATGCTGAAATGCTGAATTTTCTTTGTCACTTACGCATTTAGTCTGCCGGCAATATTCTGCCACGCCACCTCCCTTGCTTTATTGGTCGTTGCCATACTGCCTTTTTTTGTAATTATATCTTTGTAATTGTCATACAGTTCCATAAGGAGTGTTTGCTCCGCTGCTGAAAATGCCTCGTAATTATGAGATCAGGAAAGTTGCCACATTAGCCACTGCTTCACACAGAACCACATACTGCACATCCACGAAGGGGGGTCGGAACTACTGTAACCAGCTGCCACTCAGGTGGTGTCAGGGGCGGGCTGGCCATAGGGAGGTTCGGGAGTATTCCGGCCGGTCTGTTCCAGGCCGAACCGGCCGGTGGTTGGAACGTTTTTTACCCCATAAAACGCAGCCGCGGTTGACCGCAGCAGCCTGCCCTCACAGCCGCAGGTGGCAGTGGCACAGAGTGGAACATCAGACTGGGTCAGTCTAATATTTTGCATATTAAGGGGGGATACGAGCGGTTAGCAAGCACTGCCTACATGGTCCTATCATCCAAGACGGGTCGGGCCGGCCCAACAAACCCGGTTCAGACCGAAAAAATATGCAAATGACTCGGGCCGGGTCGGACCTCAGGCTTCCTCAGCGCATAAGTCACGCACATACTTATTATCATTTTTCTTCCATATACAGTGCGCACTGTTGTAACATCTCCTTGCTTAGTGTAATATTAATGTGCCAGCCCAGCTGGATCTGTAAGCGTTTGAGCGCTAAGAAGAGTGTTAAAAGTGGGTCAGCTCGATCTTACAACTCCTTCTTAGTGAAAGATCTTCTTAAGCTAAGAGCGATCTGGGAAACGCGACCATTATCATGTCAACATACAGGGAAAATGTGTCCAGAGTTTATGACATTTACCAGGAGAGCTAGAGCCATTGGACTAAAGCCGATGTTATTACTGCTGTAGCATGATGTTATTAGGCTAAATACTAGGCTACATTTCTAACAGTGTCTGAGTTTTGTGTATATTGTGTTTATACAGTATGTTTATACAGTATATACAGTATATATATACTGTGTGTGTGTGTGTG